CCCCAAAACCCCAAAACCCCAAAACCCCAAAACCCCTTGTCTGACAGGAGTAATTGATAACAGGGTGTTTTATAAATAAATAAAAACAAACTCGTTTAATTATGTCAGTGATTGAAGAAAATGCATGCACAAGGATGGGCCAGGATTCAAATCAGATCTCTCCCTTCATGCAATGTGCTAAGTTTGGCGAACCAAACTGTACTCCATCTCAGCAAATTGACCTTCTTGGTGTTAAAGGTATGTGAATCATAGATGTTTCCAGAAATTTATGTAAAAATCGGATTACAAGTAGATATGATTTGCCATCTAATACATACCTCTAAGTCGCTTGTGGAGAATTGATGTGAACTCTTGGTAACTAATTTAAAGAACAACTTTAAACAGGATAGTTTGTGGATTTTCATATTTCACACCTACATACCATAAAATTAGGTGAAGAGATTCATGAATTGCATATTTTAGAAACACGTCCTCCTCGAAAAAATATGAATAAATCCGGTTTTTAAGTTATTTTTCAAGCATATAGCAAGGATTTTTGAATTGTTACCCTGTTGCTACTAATCTTCATGCAAAATTTAGCATCATTCTGTGTGAATTTCTATGCTTTTTAATAAATCTAAGAAAGATTTTTTGTATATATGACCTAACAATTCCTTTAGATGATTACTTCAAGTCTGTACAAGTAAATTCAAAGGAGGATAACTCAGAAGATAACTTCTTGCAATACTGGGACAAGCAGGGAGATAATTGCCTTGCCAAGCAAAAAGGAATTTCTCTAGAAGGACCTGTAGGCCAAGTCCTTTGTGATTTCGAAGCTGGGAATCCCGTTGAAGACTCTTTCAAATCTCAGGAAAGCTTTGATGATGAAAATGCCTTCTATAACCCTGATGCTGATAGTCTTGAAGAATTCTTTGGGGAGACCCCAAAGAACTTCGAAGAAATCATTGACACCTGCCGAGGTGATAACTGCCATTTTAATGGTGGTATTGAAGAAGATAATATAAAAAGAGATAACAACTATTCAAGGAAGGCAGTAGTTGAAGAGACTTGTTACCAACATCTTTCCAAGAAGCAGAGAAAGAGAGATGCAAAGCTAGCCAACAAGGTTAGGTCAGATATATGTTTCTCCAATAATTTGGGAAGAGAATCTTTTGTAAAAAGATCGAAATCTGATTCAACTCAGTTGAGCAAAGAATCCAATTCAGGATTGATTATTAAAATCAGAGCTGGCAAGGATGTGCTTGCAAATGAGAAATTCTCTGCTCAAGAAGTAGATAAAGACCTGTCTCAAAGCTCAATGAATGACGCGGGGAGTAAGGTAACAGCTCCTAGATCTTCTTGCTCAGCTTCCACAATTGGCAATGAGAGAATTGAAGAAAAGAGTAGCAAGTTCGATGAGTGCTCAGTGAGCTTCATTGAGCTTGAGAATGATACTAAGATCTTCTGCAGAAGCATTGGGCCTCTGAAGGCTAACGAAAGAAAGCAGAAGGTCCTTCATTATCTTGAAAAGAAAAGATCTCGCAAGTGGCATAAAAGGATTAACTATAACACCAGAAAGCAAGTTGCAGACATCCGTCCAAGATATAAGGGAAGGTTTGTTACAACCGAGCAATATGAGGAGTTCAAAGAGATAGAAAGAAAGAAGAATGAGGAGAAACTGAAACAAAAAGTTTTCAAAATTGAGAGGATTCATAGATAACTCTCTTCTTCATGAAGCCCATATTTTAAGTTTAATTAATAATAAAATGTAATCAAACCCATTTAAAGACAATCTCCGCTATGACTTTCTAAGATATAAGATTTCTTGGGCCTGCTTGACCCCCTTTTGCCACCTTCTAGATTTTATTTTGCCATTTTCAAATAAAATGATATTATTCAAAACCTAGAAGGTGTGATTCAACGAAATCTCATGAATACGGGGTTTTGGGGTTTTGGGGTTTTGGGGTTTTGGGGTTTTGGGGTTTTGGGG